GGAAGAGAAGACTTTTCTGGACTTCCAATGTTTCCAATATCAATGTCCATGAAAGTTTGGGAAGTAGATCTTCCAATCAAATTTGCTTTTACCAGTGCTCCAAATCATTTCTGATTCAGCAGCAACAAGCAAATATGTAAGATCGATAAGGGTCATGTCGTGGTCTGTCACATAGTAGTCCTTCAAAGAACCCGCTATATGACTTAGACAGTGATTTGAAGAACCCAGTCAACAGTCAACTTCCTTGAGACTTTGACACCCAACTCTCCCAGCCTGTCAATATGTGACTTCATCTCCAAGACGTGAGTGCATATAGACACTGTTTTCCAATAGGGATTGAGTGACCTTGAACTTTTCAAGAACTTGTGGGTTAGGGAGAATAATTGGAGGAGGTGGAGGAAGTGAAGTATGATTTCCAGTCTCATTAATGCACAATCAAGGGATTAATCTTTCACCTTGATCGCCATTTGGGATATCATCTTCATTAGGAAAGCTTTATCCAAAAGGATAAGGAAGACCATAGTTGTCATAACTAGACATCTATGAGGGAGAAATTCAAGTTTAGTTGATTTAAGTCCTTAATATAACACCCAATATGAAATATTAAGGCTAGGACCCAACACAGTATTATATAACTTGGAAGAGGGATGCCGTAATCCAATCTACAAAATATTTGAAGATAGGTAAATGACGATTTACAAATTTCCACCATGAAAAACAAAATCTAACATTAGGTTTTAAATGAATTGAAACTCCTAGATCTTTTAAGATTCATTGAACTATTCAATGGCATGGTTAAATCTCGATTGTGCCTTTCAAGTTTGCGACTGGGATTCCGAGGATCACAAACAAGGAGTGAATAACCATGCAAATTAACTTGGTACACTTAATGTTACAACCACCTAATCAATGTGCCGGTTAACCACACACGCTCCATTGATCTATGATTAACATCAAGCTACCCTTTGCCACACATTGTCATTCCCAGATTAGTGTGTCGGTTAACCACACATGCTCCACTAACGACTTAACAAGGTGCAAAGTGCAATTTCATGGGTTAGCACCAAATTCACATTTTCCTAAAGTAACTAAGATTGAGAATTTAATAAAGTTTAGTTACTTTATATTTATCATTATACTTTTAATGAAGGGAGAATTAATGTCCTATCCTACCCGTTCGGCTAACGACCCTCCACCAGTCAAGGAAGCGGTGGGTGAGAGTGGACACCCATTAAACTGCCATTTTATAGGCAGTAACCTTATACCCCCCATATAGACCGGCTTCGTGAATGAGGCATACTAACGGTAAGACTGACTTATTCTTATACATATATATAAGTATTAACGTTTAATATTATAATAGTATAAGGGTGTATTTTAAACATTTAAAATACTTGATGGTTTAATCTATTAATTAAACAATACTCTTAATTTAATTAAACTAAACCATGTCATTATGGAATTATTAATCTCCTTTAATTAAACACTTTAATTAATTTAATAAAGTCCATAAGGTTTGAATTTTAAACTTTTGAAATTCTAGGAGTTGGAATTAAAATATACATGGGGGGGGGGGGGGGTAACTTTACAAATTCCAAAACTTGAGGGCAAGTTTTGAAACTTTTCAAAACTCTTGGATTTTCATAACTTACGAGTTTAATATGGTTTTTATGGAAGACTTTTCAAGTTCCATAACTTGAGGACAAGTTATGGAAGACATAAAACTATTTTATGATGACATTAAAAATAGAGACTCTTACATTTTCATAACCTATGAGACTTAATGTGCTTTTAAAAGAAAAAAAAAACTCTTCATTTTCCATAACTTGAGGACAAGTTATGGAGTTCATAAAAACCATTAAGATCAAAAATACCAATTAACACAATAATCAAGTAATTTTTTTATAATCTAGATTAAACTCATAAGTAAAGATAATTCACATCAACAATTTTCAAGAACTTAGCTAATCACATAAACTAATACAAATCTTGAAACTTTGACAATTATCTTGTTTTTGGATGAGGAAAATTATTTTCATAATATAAAAAAACAAATTTTTATCAATAAAAAAATTTATAGTAATTATCCAAATCCAAATTAGGCCAAGAAATCCAAAAAATTTGTCAGGCCCGTCACCACCTCGTGGTAATTTTTACCACCTCGTGGTGATCAGGCAGGGTAAAAAAAATGATTTTTTAGCTTTGAAAAAATAACCAAGCATCAAATATAATAGAAAACAACCCATGGCTCTGATACTAGTGTTGAGTTTTGTATACTACAACATCCTATGGTGCACATATAACCCTAAATGCCTTGGATCTATGTTTTCTCTAATTATACATGTAATAGTATTTCCAAAGCAATAAGCCTATAACTAGCATGCAATTGACATAAACAATATAAAATGCTAGTTAGGATGACATACCTTTTATGTAGCTTGAAACCTTGTTGTATTTGGCTTGAAGAGCTTAGTACCAATACTGTGGATGCCTCAAATGAAATCACAACACACCATGGACAAAGGTGACTCTTGAGAGAGAATCTCCATGCACCAAAAACACCTCCATGAACTCCAAGAACATGTGTAGGCGTTTTTTAGCTATAGAGCACATATTTATATGTAGGATTCCAAGGGTCATGGGTATAACCCAAATCCATACCCATGGGTTTTATGATCCATGGTTCATGTGGCCTAACTCTTTATGTATCCATACATAAACTTAGTCCAACATGGATCATAAGCCCAACACATATAAATATAACTAATTACCATAATTAGTCCCCATAGATTTAATTAGTCTCTTTTGATCACTAAATTAATTCCAAACTAATTCTTGATCAATACTAATTAAATCATATGATTTCATATTAATATATTAGAACTTATAATATATTAATTAATCATATATAACCTCTTCTCAAGAGTCCATCCTAACAAATTGTCCTGATGATATGCAACCCAAATGGACCATGCTACTCTCGGGTCGAGTACATACCAATAATAGTTATGGGCTTAGACATCTAATCCAACACATCTTATTGGCTTCTCCTTTGGGAATGGTATCAGCCAATAACTTCCACCAGCTTAATACCCTAGTCTTTAGTTATCGGAATGTAAGGACAAACCTCTGTCTGTTGCTGCAGTCGCAACTCTCAAATACCATCTCCATCTCGGAGATCCAGTCCATGAATTCTAGTGGTGTTTGGGTTCCAGAGAAACTAGGTGGCTTGGATGCCATGAAGTCCTTAACTTGCACGCATGTCCATCGTTTCCTCCATCTGGTTGGTTTCTTCTAACCACACGCGGATCAACTTGACGAACAGTCCGTCTATAGTTTCCTTCCTCAGATCGTTCTTCATTCAGACCAGGTTACACAATAGGTGTCGTAGGTTCATCCCTATTCTCATGTTGGAGTCGTGTAGTCTCCTCCGTTTGTTGGTGTAGAGAGAAATGATGGTGGTGGTCGGAAATCTGATGGTGGATATTGGAAAGATGATATCGACATGTCTTTTCTTTTACATTCTTTCATTTATTTTCATATCTGACGTCATCTTTCTGATCATCATTATCTTTCCGGTCATCACTATAAGCGTTCCGATCAACACCACCATTTCTCTCTTTATCGATAGCAATAACCAAGAAAAGGCATGCCTATCCACTTCCACTTCTTTCTCTCTCTCTCTCTCTCTCTATATATATATATATATATATATATATATATATATATATTATATATATATATATATATGGGGAAAATCAATAGAAAATGCATAAAGGTTTGGAAACCCTAAAACCTAGAAAATCAATAGTAATACATAGATAAAAAAATACTTTAAGATATCTAATCTTTTTTTTGACTTTATAGGGCTAAACATCGCAGGTTTTGAAACAAATTCGCTGAAAAAAAAATTTGAATTTTTTTTTATAAAAAAGAATATATATATATATATATATATATATATATATTATATATATATATATATATATATATATATATATATATATATATATATATATATATACTAGCCGTTACCCGCGCAAAGCGGCGGCGGCTAATAGCCTTTTTCGACAATATATTTCTTTTACAAAAATGTTATGTTCCAAAAGAAAGTACATGTCAAAGACAATTGAATCCAACTTTGACGCTATTTTTGACACGATACATCAAATAACCGATAAAAATAAACGGTTCAAGCCGACACAAAATATAAATTGTGTAAGTCGTGCAAACAAAAATAATAGAATTGTATAAGAATACATCAAATATGGAAATGTCTAAAAACACATAACTGCTAATACATCATTAATCTCGCAACACTTCTTTATATACCACGTTTGTTGTATAGACTCCATCACCTTTGGAATTTTCGTTAGGCTTCACTAACAATTTTGTATTTCCACGTGAGACCCCTCTGGACAATGCAACATAAAGTTGGCCATGCGAGAATACCGGGTCTGGAAGATAAATACCCACATTCGGAATTGTTTGTCCCTGGGCTTTATTGATTGTCATCGCAAAGCATAATCGAATAGGAAATTGTTTCCTCTTCAGCTTGAATGGGAACAAGTCATCATCAGACGGAGATAGTGGAAGCTTTGGCAAAAATATCCTCTTGCCAGCATGTTGACCAACAGCTATTTCTGCATCAATGACATTTTGCTGAAAGCTTTTGCATATCAATCGAGTGCCATTACACAATCCATTTGATGGGTCAATATTCCGTAACAGTATGATCGGGCATCTAATTTTCACCCGAAGATAATGAGGGGGTAAACCACTAACAGTGAGCGAGTTCAAGAATTCCAGCGGATAGAATCCATTTTTATCATCTATGGCTTCATCGATACTATAGTAAATTCTCTCTTCTCCATGGAATCGATCGATCAAGTAATCATTAATCTCATCGACACTATCATTTTTTGTGGATAATATTGCCCGCGAGATGATATAATCTGATTCAGACATATTAAATTCCAATGAGGGAAATACTGCATCAATCAAAGCATCCAATGATTTTTTTTATCAGTATATGGAATGACCATATCATCAGGGATGCGGATAAAGCTTCCGTCCACTGTTTCTTCAACTCCATCACCGACCCGTAATAGAAAGTTCGAGAACCACGGATCAGTTAGTGCTCTCATATTTATTGTTAACCGCAACTTTATAATCGAAGGCCAAAGAGGTGACATTCGTAGGCTGGAGTCTACAATTTGTGCACATGTTCCGCGTCTTACAACTGGCAAAACTTGTCTGAAATCGCCTCCCATAACCATTATCTTTCCACCAAAAGGGAGCGCCACTCCAGTGATATCTTGCATTGTCTGATCAACCGCCTCCACTGGCTGTCGCTTTATCATCGATGCTTCATCCCATATGATTATTTTTGCAAGCCGAAGTAGTTCAGCGGTACCGCTTTGTTTTTGGATGTTGCAGAATGAGTTATTCTTAGGATTTAGAGGAATTTTTAATCGCGAGTGAGCTGTCCTCCCCCCAAGCATGTTATTAGCTGCAACACCCGATGAAGCTGTAGCGAGTGCAATATGACCAAGTTTGCGGATATTAGCAAGTAAAGCTTTGTATAGATATGTTTTCCCCGTTCCACCAGGACCATCTATGAAGAACACTCCTGGACAATCAGTGCACACATGCTTCATGATCTCGTCATACGCATATTTTTGTTCAGGATTCAGAAAATCTTGCGCATGCAAATGGTCAGGTTCCACAACAATAGAGCACTCTTCTTGTACCTCGCGAAAAACTCCCGATTGTAAATTCAAGTCTGTATTTATAGCGGGAAGATCAAAATTTTCAAGCTTGTTACTCATAGATTGTAGGAATATGTTGATATCTGTGAGGACCATATTCTGCACTCGTTCAACATTGTCGTATTGTCGCCTATAATCTTCTGAGAGAGCATTGTAGTGGGAATTCCACAACTTTCGAACATCTCCAGGATCACAAAAAACCAATATCGTTGCAAACAGCCTTCTGAGAGAACTGGGAAATTGAAACAGGATGCCTCTGCAAGACATTCTGATAAACTATCATCGGTTTCTATTAACCCTTTTTCTAGAGCCGCTTTTCGAAATATGGGATGTCTTACGTCATTGACTGTGTATAGATCTTCAAAACATGTAGGACCCCTAATATGACATAATAACACACGTAGGTAGTATCGCTCCCCTTCAGCAGGATTAGCATAAACCAAACGACCTACCGCTGGTGCTTGTTTTCGAGGATTCCATAGACGTGATTGGGTACTCCACGTGAAGTGTTTGGGAAAATCATTGTATAAGTACTTTCTTGCGCACAAGTTCTCTTTATTCATCTTGAAAAATGCGGTCAACATTGATCTCTTATCTTTCTCCTTCTCAACAATGGATGTCATTGTATCAGCATCACTAAATCGAACCAGTTGTTGGTTCGGTAGATGCAGTTGCAAAGTGATCACATTAGGGTGGATTTGAGAAAGAGCAAAACTAAAAATTCGCCATGTTGCTTCCGGAGCAGAGACATAACGTGCATCTTGAAAACGTTTTATCTCATTGATAAGAACAGGCTGTGCATCTGGATCAATATGGATAACCTGTTTGTCATGACCCTTGTAAATATACTTAAAGACATATTTGACGGATGTTATACTCGAGCAAACCTCTACATTTAGAAGGCAGTTGAACATCATCAACAACTTTGGGTTATATGGAACAACCCATCTATTATCCATCATAATACCTTGTTTTTTCACCGCAATTCCAGTATCTCTCCTTCGATAAACAGGATATGCATCCTTTCCTTGCGTCGTAGTTTCATTGAATTGTCGAGGGTATCTAAAACGACATGTTGGTGGATCACCTTGCATGCAAGAACATTTTTCGTTTAACGTACCGCAAGGACCATGGATCATGTGTGATTTGACCAGATCGTGTAGTATCGGATACTTTGTCGGGTTTGGAATTTCAGCGCACACATACTTGTCATAATGGTCTGCATTGGTGAGCTTCCATTCAGGTGTCATTATCAAGAGAAAATGGGCATGTGGCAAACCACGTTTTTGGAACTCTATTACATAAACATAGGCGCCAACCTCGCCAAGGACGTGCCTCTTGAAGAGTTGTTCCTTAAGATCAAGTAACTTAGCACGAAAACTCTTGAAACCAGATCTGGTCTATCTTGAGCCGTCTGCGAATGAAGTAACTCATTTTGGATTTCAGGCCAATTTGGATTGCACGTTATTGTAAGGAATATATCAGGTTTCCCGCCATTTTGAACTAAAGCCATAGCATCAAGAAACCGTCCTCGCATGTCACGAGGGCCTCCAATGAAACTTGTAGGCAAAACAACACGTCACCCAACCATACTTGGTTGATCCTCCCCGTCATTGATACAATCCACAACACCTTGGTATAACTCCGCTCTTATTTTGGATTGGGTTTTCTACAAAATTCCAAATGCGAAGTCTCAATCTTGATGTAGATATCTACCACAAATTGTTGGAACAATCTTCCTCCTAACATAATTAAGTTCAAGTTTGAACGAATCTGCAACTTATAACAGTAGTACTCCCGCATACTTACAGTTTTCCTACCGGTTCTTCCATCAGTCTCTACATAATGTTGACGATGAAAAAATTATATCAATGTACATGTTTGTGGAGCAAAAACGAGATTAAAAATTATGGTTATGCGTACCTTCTAGATCTTCCTCGATGATTTCGGTATCATTAACAATCTCATTGATCGAAACTCCTTGTCTTGGTATTTTATAATGCCATCCAGGCTCACCATTTGGGAAGAATAGAGGATAAGACAATGGATCATAACATGCCCAATAAGACTGAATTGTTGATGGTTTTTCAGACCTCCCATAAACTATAATACTTCTTTTATACGCGGTTATGTTGTCATTACCTTCAACCCAAATACCAGCAACCTGTGAAAGTATATTATTGAAAAAATATGATTGAAGCTGGCATGTCAAATGCATGGGTATATTTAATACGTGAAATGTTTCATTTCATTAAAAAAAGTGTGTACATAATTAATTTCAAACCTCAGATGTGGTTGGCCGATTGTACACTCTCTGGTCTAGTTCTATCGATGCATTTAAAGTGACTCTGTAATTGTCGAGCGGTCCTAAATCAGCAAGCCTACGAAATGTTGCAACGTATGGGTTTGTAGCAAGAACGTGAGTCAAAATTTCAACAATTGGTTTATCAAGATTTTTCCATTGTAGTCTATGTGACATCTCAGCTTCGGCATCGTAAAAATACAATTGTAAGTACTTAGGTTCATCCTTCTTCCTTGGAACTAACTGATCGATTCTATGGTATATTCCTCCATTCACACAAAAAGTGTTACCCCAGATGTCATGTCAGCCATTGATTTATCCACATCTACACCCATTGATGCAAATGAAAAGTTGGTGTTGTACGCACGTATATTTTTTCTAAACAATTTGCCTAATTCGGTTTCTGCGGTGAAAAGACTGTGCAATTCGTTAGGAATAAAGGAGTCTGCCAACTTTGTCTTCCCATTCATGCAACAAAAACCAGGAGATTCAAACTGCAATCGTTTTGCTCCACAATATTTGCATATGTCATTGAACTTCACCACACGATGTTTTTTACGGATACCGGCAAAAACAAAAGCATATGGATCCTCTGGAACGCCACCATCTTGTACCGATGGAGTGGCATTGCCATGGGTACAACCTTGTGGATCTTTAGACATTTGATTCAAATAAAAATATAAATATAAGATTAATTCAAGTACATAATAAAAGTATTAAGAATGAAATAAAAATTAACAAATAAATAAATTATAAAGAAATAAATACTAACTTGTTGATGTCGAATTTTGACTTAGCAATTCATCTCGTACTGACGAATTGACATTGCTCTCGGTTCTAGGAGATGCATTCGTAATATCCATTAAACTTCTATCTACGGTAGTCATATTAGTCAAATATGTTGTGTTTTGACTATTTCCTTCTTCGTTAGATATTCGTCTCATTTTGTTTTTCTCTTTTCGTCGTTCGTAACATGCCTTATTATATGCTTTTTTTTTTCTGCAACAATTTTTTTATATGAAAAATATATAACGATGAAATACTAATAACGATTGTACGTACGAAGCATACCTTTTGTATTTTCTGTATCAACTTGAATAACATTATTATGTTTATTTTCTTTACCATCAAACCTCATTGCAAACTGTAAAACCGACAACAAAAAATAATAAATACTTTATTTTTTCATGACAAATTCTATAAAGACTATTATTTATATATGAAATTTATTACTATATTAATTGAGCATAAATAGAATATATGATATTGTACATTTATTATTAAATCTATAATTGGAAAGATAAAATGTAAAATGATTGAATTTGATATTCTGTTAATGACAACAACAACTGAACACATTAGAACAACATATTTATATTCGACACACAAATAGTATAAATGAAACTCCTTAAATAGATAGTATTGACTTCATTTTGTTTTAAAAAAGGAAAAATTATATTGAATCGTAGGTAAACTGAATGTACTTTGCTAGTTATTGCAAGACATAGCCATGTACTTTGAGTTTTGAATAAAAATAAAAATAAATTGCAAAAATCATAAACAAACAAGTGTCAGTTAAAAAAACAAACATTGGTAGTTATTGCATTATCCAGCCAAATGGAAAGCACATTGTGTAATTGATTATTTTAGTTTTTTGGGAATTAAATGTTATTGTTACAATGATAATTGGAATTAGTATCAACCTTATTATTATGTTTATTTCCTTCTCATCAAACATCATCGCAAACTCTTCTAATGACAATATAATAATAAGTACATATACTTTTATAACAACTTTTGGTAAAAATTGTCAAACAAAGAAAGTAAAATTTATAATCTTAAAACGCACCAAAAATCCATATCACAAAATCCGCAAACAAATAAATACCAAAAAAACTATAAAAACAAATAAAAACCTTAAATCCCGCAAACAAATAACTACCACATACGACACACACAAATAACTACGGAAAAATTAAATATTTTCCCTATCTCTCATTCGAATCCTATCAGCTTCCGGCATTCTTGGATCTAACGTGACATCGGTTAATGCAGTTGAAACCAAAATATTATCTGTATGGACATGTATTATACAGTTAATAAGATATACTGAAATAATTTATTTATAAATAATTGAAACTATATATAATGTTGCACATAGTTAACTTACAAATATTTTCGTGGACCAACTTGACCCTAGAGACATAAATTATGGATTGATTGACAATTGCAAGATACATTTGTATCATAAGGCTCATCGGTACGTGATTGAACATCAACTTTATTGTATGCCCCCTATTCATTCAAACTAAATTTTGTTAAAAACATAATAATAATAATAATAATAATAATAATAATAATAATTGGTTAATGCATTTAAAGAAAATACATTATATTAGCATACTATTAATATTTTTATATATCTATATCTATATATAATCTTACATCTCATTTTGGATAAATAGTTCAAATGCATAGAATGGCCTCATTCGTCTTCCCCATACGATTTTTCCAACGACATCTACAATGCACCAAATTTAGTATTATTTAATTTGTCGTATGAAATATATAAAAAAAAAAATATATATATATATATATATATATATATATATATATATATATAATCAAATATAGAAATGTACCTATCAACATTCTTCGACGGCTAAAATCTCTTGTGAGACTTGTGATAGAAGAACACAACGGATAAATTGGAAATGAATTGGCGATATCATTTCCCAAGAGAGTAAAAATGGTGTTACTCTTTATCAATATACCCCACTCGCCAAAGAAAATTTTATAATGTTGATATCTTGGGTGGTCTTTGTAAAAATGATCCATTCGGAAATGATTTAAGGAGATAACGCGTCCAACCAAATTCATGTTCAAAATTGACCTCAAAACCCGTGGGACAATTGCGATCATTTTGTCTCTCTGAGATATGTAATACAATAACAATATGTGAATTATAAATAGAACATTAAACAAATAATGTCATATTCATTTTATTGTATTAATACTTACGTTGCGATCAAGCAGCCAAATAAGAAGTCTATCATGTTCAACGTCGTCCCACACAAACAAAACTCGAACAGCTAGTATGTTCCACCATACGTGAACGTGTCGTAATGCAGAAAAATCTCGAACAGTGGTATGACCATCCATTACTAAAATTTTCATGTCACTATGAAATACACATATGTATTGTTTTGTATAATTTGTTTTAACCATATACACATTTTTATAAATTATTCTTTTTATGTAATAATAAAAAAAATGATTTTTATTTAAAAGCCTAAATTTTTTTTATGTTTATGTGAAATATTTTAAATATTCACATTACATTATTATATTTAATTTAATGTAAGAATAAAAAAAAACTTCATATAATACGTATCAAAACTGTTTTTCCCTTAATATATATATTTTAATTATTGTTTCTATACATACGTTAATTTGTGAAGGCGTGAATATTTACCATTCATTATTTTTTTTTTTATAATAATATAGGGTAATGTTCTTCTACCAAACCCTAAAGCCGACATAACCCTAAATTGCTTTTTCAGTTCTTACATCCGACATAACCCTAAATTGCTTTTTGACATTCAGAAAGGGGAATACGAAATGAACCGATTCATGAATTAAACACAACCATTTGAGTCGACGAAACTCTTCGTCTCTCTCTTGCCTCGTTTGTATAAATCAGTAATGCCATAAGACCGTATTTTCTCTATTACTCTCGTTATGCCCTAAATTCATATCTGCAGATCTGGTTATGCTTTCTACAAATTGAGAGATGCATTCATCGATTACATCTCGATTACTCTCGACTGAGGGTTTTATGGCTTTAAGTGTCGGCTTTAATTCATGATTACGAGCGAGATGTCGAGGGATCAGAAGAGGATCATTGGTCGGATAGTTACATGGAGATACAACAAAGGTAACTAAATTTATGAAGTTGTTTAAATGTAAATTTATTGTTCTTTAGCTTTGTGGATTTTATGGTGATTTTGTTTTTATAAATTAAGGTTGGAATTGGAGTATGGATTATTCTATTATATAAAATCATGTTACCAATCATAATACATACATATATATTATGTACATTATGTTTAATATTTCTATTATATATGATTTTTTTCAGGGAGAATCATTAACTTTGTAAGGGTAGAAACTAACTGCAACAAAGCTACGTTTACAAGTAAGTGTTATTTTCATGGTTTCAAAAAGTAAATCCTAAATTTCTTAGTCAATCAGATATGCTTAATTAACTAATAGTATAATAACAATAATATTGCTTAATCTTTGTGTAACTACTACTTAAACTCAATAGCAATTACAAGCAATTATGCAGTTCTTCGTTGCTAATACATATTACTTTAGTAACATATAATCTAATGGAAAAAAACATACCTTTTTTTAATGCCTGTAGAATAGATCGTTGTTAAGAAGCCCTGTTGTTTATGCATGTGGAACGAAAAACACAGTTAATGAATATTGTGTATACATGAGTAAGTAAAAAATACAGTTTAAGAATATGGAAGACATACGTATGTGCAGACTGTGGAAATGGTGAGGGTGTTCTCTCTTTATCTGAATTACGAAATTTGTTTGTCAATGACAGACTATAATGCATCTACGATATGGATAGTATAAATATACAATCTAATATAATCTGTTAAAAGTTTGTTATGAATAGATAAGATGCAATTCATATATATGTGCATGAATATTCAAATATTGTTTTGAAAATTCATCATCTATTTGGATATACATAATCCTTTTATCTAATAAATAATCAAAATTTCCGTATTAATTTAACAAAAAAATCAATTTTCGTTTTTTTGCTGTTTAACATTGAAATGCATGGTGCTTTCTGAAATAACAATATTGTTTGGTAACAAAAGCTACTTGTAATTAACCTGAAAATATGTTATTTTCATTTTCTAATGACCTACTTACTGTTACACCAACGTCATTTATCTACAACTCAATATGAGTAGAACATCTTATCAATATAACCATTTTAGATATAACAGATGAATTTGACCACTAAATTCTTTTTTGTAAACGCCATTAAAGACAACTCTCTATTGTAGTAATGATTTAATTTGTGTAATATAGCATGGAAATAATATCATACTTTCATTTTTTTCTGTATATAATTTACTTTTAGAAATCACAGAATCCTACTTTCATTTTTTCTATTACCAAATTCTACTTTCAGTGTTTTATGCAATTAGGCGTCGTCCTTTAAAAAATGTTAATATGTTATATAAAAAATAAAAGTTTGATTCTATAATAAGCTATCATATATCACAACATCCTACTCTAATTTCATCTTGAATAAATATGTTTCCAAACATAGCTGATTATAAGAATTTGAATGTACTTGGCTAGTTATTGCTATAATTAGCAATGTACTTCGGGTTTTAGATAAAAATAAAAAATAATTGCAAAAAACAGATAGAAACAAGTGTCAAATAAAAAAGTACATTGCTAGTTATTGCGTTGTCTTACATTTATTGGATTGTCCTCCCAAATGGTTAGTACAATGCTATTTTGCATCCCTTTATTATGATATCCTAATCATTTTTTTATTGCAGGTGGTACTTGCCAACAAATATGATTACCCATAAATAGTTTTGTCGAGTATTAAGAGGAGATACTTCTTTTATTTGACCAACAAATAACACAAATAAAGATCCATAAATAAAAAGTATAGTTGTTAATTTTGGTTTAAAATAAATTCCAAACAGTTTGTTATTTAATATTTTTTTAAATAGTAAATGTCATTAAAAAAAGAACCTGCTCCATAACCATTAGAATTCTGAAAAATCAATAAAAAAACAACCTAAAACTTAAACAAAAACAATCCTAAGAAAGAAGACCCTAAAATGCGACACTAAGAAGAAAACTCTAATAAATAAAATACTTAGGTGTCCATGACTACATCATCTTCACCCATAACAACATGATTTTCACTATCTTCCTCGTCATGAAGCTGATGAAATCTGTTTCGTTTATGAATTGTGACACGGGGCCTCTTGGTTGGTCGGGTTGATGTTGTTAATGCTGTTGAATCTGCTGTATCAGTTGTTTCCACAGCTTTAACATCCAACTCTTGATCTTCAGAACTTAAAAGATCAACAACCTCATTCCATTTCCAGGTTTCCAACGCTCTCTGTCTTTTCTTTTGTTTTTCGACCTTAAATTGTTGAAGCTTTTCTTGAACAGTTTCTTGTTGTTGCTTCTTGTTATCATTGCTAAAGCTCTGCATTATGGCTGATTGTGTATGATAAAATTAGTCTTAATTACAACAAAACAAATGAAAAAGAAAACAAATATACGAGAACATACCTTCTTGAAAGCTTGACATTTCTCGTCACAATCTACTTTACAGTAGCGTACTTGGCTATTTATTGTAGTAGAATTAGTACCCATGTGTCAATATTTTCCCGCTCAAACTAAATTCTATCCCAAAATATAAGGAACCAACATATATAATCATTTAAAATCGGTATTATCTTTACAGCCATCAATATTTAAAAAAAAGATTAATTGGAAAGATAAAATTTAAAAGGGTTAAATTAAAATTAATAATGTTATTTAAGTCATTATTAAATAGAAAATCTTCCAGGCTGTCAATAATTTCCCGGTAAAAAAATTCTTTTCTGAGAAAAAATAAGTATTTAACTTATTGAGTAAATTACACGAATGGCCCCTGTGGTTTGGGGTAATTTGCACGTTTGGTCCCTAATTTATTTTTTAACTTAAAGGTCCCTACAGTTTGTTTTTATTGCGTGCTTGGTTCCTGTCTCACCTAAAAAGACTATTTTGCCATTAATTTTTTAATTTATTTAAATAAGATGTGGTAGACATAAAATAAAAAATCAAGGGCAAAATAGTATTTTTAGGTGAGACAGGGACCAAGCACGCAACAAAAACAAACAATTGGGACTTTTCGAGTTAAAAAAATAACTTAGGGACCAAATATGCAAATTACCCCAAACAATAGGGACCATTCGTGTAATTTACTCTAACTTATTTGATATTTTAATAACAGAAATGACTCTACAAGTATCAATATGTTAAAAACATAATCTATAATTAGAAAGATAAAATGTAAAATGGTTGAATTCTATATTTTGTTAATCACAACAACAACTGAACACATTAAAGCAGCATATTGAAATTCATTTTGGTTTTAAAAAGGAAAAATTATATTGAATTGTAGGCAAATTGAATGTACTTTGGTAGTTATTGCAAAACATAGCCATGTACTTTGAGTTTTGGGTAAAAATAAAAATAAATTACAAAAATCAGAAACAAATAAGTGTCAGGTAAAAAACAAACATTAGTAGCTATTCATATTTTTATTGCTGGAGGTATTTGACAACAGAAGTGATTACTTAATTGTAATCACCTGGATATGAAGGAAGGAGATCAGATTTGTTGAGGATTATAAGGAGGTACTGCTTTTATTTGACCAAGACATAGCACAAATGAAGTCCCACAAATATATAGTATAGTAGTTCATTTTGGTTATCAGTAAATACAAGATTGATATTTAGGGAAATTGAATGTACATAGACAGTTGGGTTGACTTTGTTTTTTGGATAAAAAAATTGCAAAAAACAGAAACAAACAAGTGTCAATGTTAGTAGTAATATATTTTAGTAGCTAATCATTTTTCAATTGCAGGTGATATTTACCAAAAGATAAGAGTACTCAACTGTTATGACCCGGATATGAGAGAAGGAGATCTGATTTGATGAGGATTACAAGGAGGTACTACTCTTTATGCTATATACAACTGCATAATTTTATAATCAAAAATATTACTTTTCTGGACAAATCGATCTTTATCAGCTTAACCATCTTTTGGGCACCTTTTGGATCAAGATTAAAAAATCACTCATAGATTTTTACAAACCAAACATCCCATAAACCAGAAAATGTCAATCTTATTTTAAACAATCTACTGAAATACTAAAACATAAAAAATCCCTTCTCTTAGGTGTCTTTAACTGCATCATTCTCAACCCTGAATTTGCTGATTTTTTGGTTTCTCTTAATTGGTGGTGATAATGTTGTTGGTGTTGTTGAATCAACTGTATCAGCTGTTTCTGTAGCTTCATCATCCAATGGTTGATCTTTGGAAC